CCTCCGTGGAACTCGAGACCGGTGAGTGGCCTCGCTCCGTTCCCACGGCTCTCTGCCCGGTTTTTGTGAAAACCTGTATCTGAATTCTTCATGCCCTATGCCCTATGTTGAGTATGGTTTCACTAATAAGAAACATACATTTACATAAAGAATTCATATTTGGCCATGCCCATGTTGATTAAAGTATTAAAAAAGTTTTAATTTAAGGTACATTTAGAACAGATAAAAATGTGTGATTAAGATGTGATCATGGCAATCATGCGATTAATCTTGATTAAATATTTTAATCGATTGACAGCCCCTAATATTTAATATTAACAATATGATGACTCGGAATGTAACGATTCACCATGAGCTGGTTGAAAAATGATACAAATATGTGACGATTCAAATCGGTTGAGATGTTAAACGAATCGCGATCCAGTTGGAGTTTATATGAATGTATCTCTGAGGGGAACTGATTGTCTTTAGAAAAGTTTAGATTATATTTTCTTTTCATCTCATCTCTGTATAATGCATATTGAAGCAGCGTTCATAAGCGCTTATTATATACAATATAATATATTATTAATATTTACAAATCAAGTATAATGGGAACACAGAATGATCTTGGAGAGAGCTTTACCGAGCTGACTGCTGTAACCGAACGCGACCAGGGTTTAAAGGCTGAACGAATGACTGACAGCCACAGCGGAGAAAAGAGTTTGTGTGAACTTTAATGTAAGGACTTAAATATTCATATGTAGCTCACATTAAGCTATCGTATGGCTTCAGAAGTAACACAGAATAATTCGCACAATCGGAAAAAAAATCGAATAAAATCTCGGATTTGGATCGGCCCTCTCTGACCGATACCCGATCCGAGAAAAATGGCACTATCGGAGCCGATAACCGATATGAATATCGGATCAGTGCATCCCTATCAATAAGCGCCACCTGCTGTCAGAGAGTGAATCTGTGTCTCATTCAGAGCTTCTGCTATCTTTGTTTCGTGCACATGTTTTATGTGGTATAGTTTCACAAAACTAAAGTCAGAGCATTCTGTTTTTGTTTTAAAAATTCAAATTATACAATCTAATTTAGATTTAAAAAACTGCTCATGCTGTCCAAGCAATAATAAAAGGACACCTTTTCATTTATAATTTGTCTTAAATCTAATTTTGTTTGAAAAATCGTGAGAAAATCGAATCGTGAAATCAGTATCGTGAATCGAATCGTGAGTTGAGTGAATCGTTACATCCCTAACATTGACGCATTTCTGAGAGTGTTACATTTCTGTTTACGAGACCCTACAAAGGTCTTACATTTAGCCTCATGAAACCTGTGGAAACCCTGTAATTGAATATGAACTGTCTCATATGACTATGGTTTTCTTTGGGCACTAACTTTTGGCAAGGCAAAGCTAAAAGCACTTTGAAGCCATTCCCCGTGTCTAATTTTTGTAGCATTTGTTCATTGATCTGTGTTTTTTGGCACCTGTGATCTCTGTGAGTCATTGTGGATGTTGGAGATGCTTTGGTGTGAGTTGGTTACTTTGATGAAAATAATGGATTCAAACCGCTGTAAAACTTCTTAAGTATTCATCACTTTTTAAGATTTGGAGTATTTCTCTTTGAATTAATCAACAGACAGAAATCAGGCCACTCCACAAGGCTGTTCTTTTGAAATTTTTAAAGCGCAAACAAGATGGGCTCACAGAAGCAGAAAGGCTCATAATTAGCACGAATGAGGCCCTTGATTTGTGCTAGTGGATCCTTAAACTAGCAGGCCGTGATCTGTAACCCCATCGGTGGTGTGCACAGTCAGATGTCTGCTGCCAGCTGTAATTGGATGCTTTATCCTTCTCTGAACCCCGTCAAGAGCAAATAAGGCAGCCAGAGAGTTTCCCGGAGTGATAATATGGAGGGAGTGTTATTAAACGTCACATGGTGAAGCTGTGAGAGATCTTCAATTAGCTTAACGTGGCGCTCTTTCTCTGCTATTTTCATGCAATCTTCCTGTAAATGCCTCTTGCTTTTAGAGGAAAAGTACATTTGTTTCATTTGTAGTGTAGAATGGCTCATTGAGTTTGTTGTAATGATGCATGACACAGTCTCAGACAAAGCAGGAAAAGAGAGATAAGTGAAACATGACTTCTGTAATATGGGTGTAGACTCTTCTGTGTCTTTTTAGGTCTTCTGTGTGTATTAGAGGCTGACATTTTTTCGGGAATCCCGCAGGATGGGAAACAAAATCACTATTAATCACGTGATTGGGACGGGACCGGAAAAAATGTCACGAACAGGATGTGCTTTCTGCCGTTTCGGTCATGTGAACTTGAGCGAGAAACTTCGAAACTCCGTGAATGAAAAATACATCTATTGAGAGTGAAATGTCTACTTTCAAATGAAAAAAAAATCAAATAGAAAACGTTAGCATGGATGATTTACATTAAATTTAATGTGTGTGCAATGCTCACTGTGCATTGTTTAAGCTGGCTTACAGTTCAATAAAATAACAAAAAACTACATTTTGGATGTTTATTCAGCTAAAGTGGGCATGCTGTGATCTGTAAGGTTTATATAGTTATCGTGAAATAAATATATCATACTGTGAAATAAGATTTTGGTCATATCGCCCACCCCTGTGTGTGTGTGTGTGCATTGGTTCGCCGGTGTGGGGTGGTTAAGTACTTGTGTTTTCAGCCGTGTGTCAGGTGTGTCAAGGCCTCACGCATTCAGTGACCTGAGCTGGCAGGAGAGAGCATATATTAGAGAAGATATACATATTTGAGAAGACATATTTTTCCAGATTGATGTGTAACTGCATAAAATGTAAATTAAATTGTAATCAAATTCAAATGTAACAATAGATTTTATTTATTGGAAAACAAAGTGCTGCACAACAGTTTCTTTTTAAACTGTTAAAATTAAAACAGGAAATAAAATGTTTTAGTGAAGACTTTTGTGTTTCTGTGTATATCTGACGATAGTTTTCTCAAATGAAATGGTGAAATGCTGGTGAAGTGACTCTCAGAGCAGCTATGGAGATGAAGTTCATGTGTTCATGTCCTCATATAGTGAGACGGCAAACCCTGTCCTGAAAACACCAGTATGTGCTGTAGATGAAACTGGGCCGATCATTCACACAGAGACACACAGAACATTCACATTTAAATAGGTGTCTTATTGCAGTTTAATATTCACAGACACCAGTTCATATTATGATTTGATTTGATTAAGTGTACAGCCCTACTTTTGATTTATTCACCCAAAATTTGCCAAATCCCACAACATTCGGCTTTATAAATTCCATTTTTATGATTGGATTCTGCAAATGCATCCGTGTTTTCTGCATCTTCGAAATTGTAGGGTCCTAGATAGTGTTTCATTGGATATTCAGTGTGGTTTTTGACTTCCTCTGTATGTGGTTTCAGTGATCTGATCATGATCACAATCTGTTTGGGACCTCGTTTCCTCCTATTTAGTGCTGACCACTTGTGACCACTAATTGCATCTTAGTACTAGTTGTAAATTAGGAATTAGTTTTACTCTCACCCAAAGTTATTGTGTTTCTTCAGAAGAGGTTTTGGAATATGCATGTAGGCCTATGTATGTATGTACTTATTTATTATTTTATTTATTTATTTATTTATTTTTGCATCAGTATATTGACACCAAAGCACCATAGGCCTCTTTTTTCGTCTGTGTAGTGGCGTGCAGTAGTAATGTGCGGAACTGCTGCTGCTAGTCGACATAGGTAATGCTAGTCGACTAGATCGAATTTAATTGATTTAATGTTACGTTTAAAAAAAAAAAGGAAAACAAATTCATTTCATTTCACCTCAGACCTTGCATGCATGCTTCGCTGCGTTTCGCTGCGAGCTCGGAGAAATGTCCACTAGTAAAAACAAGCAAGGTGTGGGAGCGTATTTACCCAATAATAACTCTTTAATCAAACATTATGAATGAAAGGCAAGTGGCTTTCTTCAGAAAGGTTTTGTTGAAATTTTTTCTTCGTATAATGCCTAAAAGTGCTGCTTTGTTTACAGGACAACCATGATAACAGCTGTATTTCTACTTGTCCAAAAGTGCCATCTAATGTTAGAGAGTATATTTGCAATTTCATTCAGCCCGTCTGCTGCTTTTGTTGCCATCTTTAGAACACCTCAGATGATAAGGTATCTGGAGATATTTGACTCTTTGAGTCACAGTTGAAGTATTTCAAATGGATCTCATATACACACAATGTTTTTGACTGTCTTCTGAGGGTTTCTTTCTTTTAGGCTAGTCGACAACATTTCCATTTAAACGACTATGAAATCAGTCGTAACACACACCCCTAGCGTGCAGACATGTGGCATATCAGATGCCCTGTGAGTGAGAAGGGACTGGAGGCTGTATGTGAGAGGAGTAGAATGACAGCAGTTTCCCCTTCTAGCGCTCAGGTTTTGAGCGGGAGAAACCCTCACAGACTTGAATAGACTACACATATTAGAGGAGAGAATGACGTATTGCCCTTCTTTTCGTTTTTTCCCTCATTCCCTTATGTGAAAGGGACACTTCATCATGTTCTTCTAAATACTTTTTTTTCTTTTATTCCACTTGTGATGGAGCAGTATTGGAGTGAGAGACAACAGACACTCAAGCTTCTCACTCCAGGCAGTTTCCACTCTTCTTCACTCACATGCTCTGGTTTAAAACCATTACTCACGCAACGCAGTCATGTCAGTCAATGATTCTGTATGTGGGTGAATTGGCTCATCGGTCACATTAGCCAGTGCAGGTTAATGTCAGGACACAGCTGTTCATGTGTATTGATCACAGTCCATGATGTGGCGACCCACTGCCCTAAATATGATTTTATTGCAAACTCCTTATTTATTTTAGTTTTTTAATTTAGTATTTTTTACTGATTTTTTTATTTTTATTTGTAATGGTTTTCTTTAATAGTAATAACACTGATTTAACTGTACTTATATTTATCTAAGTCAAATATATGTATTTGTTTTATTTCAACAGCAAGCCTATGTGTCCTCCAGCCACCAGATGGCGCTGCTCAGTCCCAACACCAACAGTAGCAGCACGAGTAGTGTGGGAGGCGGAGAACAGCTGAGCAAAACCAATCTTTACATTCGTGGACTCCATCCTGGGACCACTGACCAAGACCTGGTCAAGCTCTGCCAACCGTAAGTCTCTGTGAAAGCTACGTAAGGCTAGATAACTATGGTGTGCCTGTATGTGAATGCTGATCATCAGGGATAATGTTCCTGAACAGTAGTGATGGGAGAAAGAGAGTTTTTCGAAACTCTGACTTAATTGAATCAATTAAACCTTTGCAAAGACCTGCCCTCCTTAGTTACCCTTGCTACGTCCAACAAGCCATGGCGCTCTCATGCCACACATCATGTTCTCACGCAGTAAAAAATACATCGCGGAGCAAAGAGGAAACTGACAACGCAGTGACAGACAAGACAGAACAGGTTACTTTTGGTATGAAACAAAGTCTCAGATTTCAAATTTTGTAATTTCTTTAGAAATTCAAACAATAAATATGGTTTGGTGGCTCTCTAATGTGTGGTGACAGATCGCTGTGAACCGATCATCTCTTCTTTACTAGCTATAGCACAAAATAAATATGAATGAACATCAGAAGGTATGTTGTTTCAACTGCAGAAAGATGTCCATACACATAATTTTTCAAGTTCAAGTCCACCGACGTTAATCTACTCTCCTGTCTGGTTAGTTTGTCGGACAAAATGGCGTTATGATTGGTCAGATCGCCTGTCAATCAAAGTCCCAGTGAAGGGTCAATTGCTCTGATTTATCCGCTCATTTGAAGCACTCAAAACACCAGACACTTGCGCCAGCTGCTTGTCAAAGTGGTGAAAATGAATGCGAATACTCAGCTCAAATATGCATAAAGACACCTTTTACTAACCAATTGCTTTTTTTTTCTTGAAAGGCTACTCTATGAAATACAATATACAAATCACATACCATTATAATGAAATATGTGTATAATATGTGTTATTCATTCATTTGTAGGGATTTTTGTTTGTGTTTTATTGAGGGCTTGGCTAATGAGGCCAATAAGAGACAAGTAAATACTATTCTTTCTTTTTTTCCTATGCAGATGTCATTAAAAATGTCTACATTATAGCCCTATTCGGACGGAACTAGTTTTCTAAACTATGTTTAAGTTTCAGTTCTTATTACCCGACGTCTGTGATTTTCATGTACCAATTCGGATGGGACTAACATCTCCGGGTTTATTACAGAGGGGGTGTGTTTTCTAGACACGATGCAGTTGTGTGCATCACATACATCGCATATGTCTAATGAAATGTGTATTAATATAATTTTAATAATTTAATTTAATAATTTAATTAAATTATAAATTAAATTATAATTTTCATTTATTATAAAAACATAATTTAAATAAACTTAACATGAGTTTATAGAAGTGGCTGCTTATAATAAAGCCACGTAAGTGAGCAGAGAAACATTACCTGACACTGATGTTAAAATGGCCAGTCTTAGCAGTTTCCACAATTTGGCTCACTTAATTTTATTATTTTATTTTTTGGTTGGATACCATCCATAGTGAAAGGTGCAGCAAATGGTAGCTCAGGTAGGCCAAAAAACACATGAGGAAAAGTGTTGGGATAATGCAATGTCAACAATAACAGACGTTTGCATTCGGACGGGATTCAATTTCAGATTTAGCAGATTTTCACAGGATTAAAATCGCAAAGTACAAATTTCTCTAACGTCCTCCTGGAAAACTAGTCCTGTCTGAATAGGGCTTATGACTGACATTCGGTAAAACCATACATGAGTGGTTTATAAGTTCACTGAGATCACCCCATAGTTGTGAACCATTTTTGAAAACTTTTCAAGTTAACCCGAAACGGAAATTACTATGTTTTGGCAAATTGGTGGTGAGTTCTGGTGAATGGTGGTGGGACATTTTATGTTATACAAAAACATTACATTTTTTTGTAAAAACTAAGCCATGGTCCACCCCTAAACTTAACTCACAGCAGACCAGTGAGATTGTACAAATTCATACACTTTTCCCACCAATTCGCCAAAATGTAAAATAATTACAGATTGCCATGAGAGGGTTGTTCTAAACGTTTTTGATCCAATGAAACATTGTTTACTGAAATCTTGTGACTTTGGAAGTTTAATACAAACCACTGGTTTGAATCAAAATAATTTTTACACTTAGATGTTTCAAAACACCAATTCAATTAAAATATGCAAAGCAAAGGACTAATTACAGAGTGAAGAACTCACCTGCTTTGATATAACCACCGATCTGTCAGGTCTGAATTAAAATGGATGTGAAATTCTGTGATAGAGGAGGTTTTTATCACCTGTCAGCTTTTGAATAAAAATATAATATGCCCTGTGTTGGATATTGGATTTTTGCCGATATCCGATATGCCGATAATTTTCAACTCATTTTGGCTGATAGCCGATGCCGATACAGATATAATTATTTTTAATTTTGGTTTGGTAGAACTTATTTGTTAAAATTAAATAAACAATAATAAAGTTATTTTATAATGAACATTGAAGATTTGAAAGTGTCATATGTGTGATTTTTCATGTAAGCTTCTGACCTTTAAATCAAAACATACTCATGATTTTATGGCATCAATTACTGCTTTATTTAATGAGAAACAGTCTAAATATTATTTGTGTACTGTATTTTGCTTTAATTTTATTAGAAGTTGGCCAGCAGCGCCCCCTACACAATTGAAAGTTGCTGCTGCCACTTCACGTGCTATTACTGTTGACTCTATCACACACCGAACGCGTCATTCTGTACGTGCATTCTCAGTTTAAATGCAGCGATCCAAAGCAGTAAATCTAATCATCATTCAGGCAAAAGTTTGCTTCAAGAATTAACCACAATGCTGACGTCATCTAATCGCACTGTTGACGTGATCGAATTGCTAGCACACCCTGAGCACATGTGAGTTAATGTATATACTTATCGGCAAGGCATCGGCATATTTTTTCATATCGGGCCGATATTTACATTTAAAGCCATTATCGGTCGATTCCGATATTGGTCCGATAATATCGAGCATCCCTAGTCTTGTGTAGTGTTGTAGTTACTGGTTCAGTTTTGGTCTTCCCACTGATTGAAGGACCTTCAGCATTCATCCCTTTTAGGACTTCTTTTATTGTTATACATATGTATGTGATGCTATTTATTACAAATCTTGCTGAGAATGCTTTAGTTGGGTGCTTCATCTATAGACTAAAAAATATGTCCCTTTAGCTTGCATGGCAATGTGTTTGCAGTCTAAAGATCTCATGTTCAGATCTTTCTTTGAGTATGTTTTGTTGCACAAACTGCAGTGTGCTTTGAGTTTTGAACTCAAGCCATTTGTGGTTCAAAAGAGGAAACATGAGGGTAAATTCGGGAGACATGAATCGAATAGGAGTGGCAGAAAGGAAATGCTTTTTTTTTTTCACAGCTTAATATACAGAGACAACTAAATATGTCATTCATAATTTAAACACTGTGTGTGCTCTGTGGTGCTTTCAACATTAATGTTTTCCGACATATCAGCCAAATGAATGGAATGTTTTTTTTCAAAAAATGTTTTATATATACATATATTCATGTCTAAATTATCTTTTTGTTTTATATTTGTTTTTATGTTATTTATTTATTGCATTGAAATTCATTGAAAAATGTTCAAGCACCTTTGGTTTACACAGACAGGTACATGGAAGAACATTAAATATTTCAGTGGCTTTATAAATATCAAAATTAAAAAGCTATACTTCCTTAAACTCTCTGAAAAGATTAGTTGAGTTGAAGCAAAATAAATGTCTACAATAGTGAAATTTGCATCTCATTTAAGTTTATTATACGAAAATGATCATGTGACTAACATTTAAAAAAAATATGAGAATGGAGAAATTATACTGATTAGTTTCAAAAAGTAAAATTATTACTTACCATTGTTTTTCTTTAACTTAAGAAATGGAGTTAGTTGGACAGAAATAACAAGCGCGCAAAGAGAGGGAAATCTGCTCTTCCCACACTTTGTTATGGTATCAGGAGAGGAAATGTTGAAATGAGTAGTTATTTTGTGCTTTCTCAAAGGTTTAATATGAGGGGAGATCTGTTAGTGTTTAATGCTCTGTTATCCGGGCCGTAGCTGGGGTTTGTGGGGCCCCGGTGCAGGTTGTACCCATGGGCCCTGTCTGAAATCATGTAAATAGCACAAATAAATTAATAGAACATAGATAGAAATTAAAATATGTTTACTTTTTTCAAGTTTGTAGGTATTCAGGTACAGAAACCGAATAACCAAATGTAAAATAGCATTGCATAGTCTTCATTGTATAAATTAAAGAGGTAATATGATGCGATTTCAAGTTTTACTTTCTCTTTGGAGTGTTACAAACTGTTCGTGAATAGATAAGATTCCTGAAGTTGCAAAGACTAAAGTCTCAAACCCAAAGAGATATTCTTTATAAAAGTTAGGACTCATCCACACCCTCCTAAAACGCCTCTTTTAAACACGCCCCCACATGTCTACGTCACTATGTGGAAAGATTTGCATAACACCGCCCAAATGTTCACGCAAAGAAAGAAGGCGTAACTTTTATTCTCGCTGTAGTATTGTTGCCTCCGCCGCCATGTCGTGGAGACGCTGTGTTTCGTTGTGAAAGCGAAACTACTTTGTTTGGTCTTCCAAAAGAGGACATGACTAGAAATCAGTGGTTAAGTTGTATTTACAACACTGTTCCAGAACACTTCAACCCAAATATTCAGATGTGTGCAGCACATTTTATGGAGGACTGTTTCCTGATCCTGGGAGAGTAGACTACAATGCCGGCTGTTCTGACTCACAGTCTGTAAGTACGTTTTTATATTTAAAGGATTTGCCACTGATGATTCAAACGTGAGTTTTGGGCAGTGTAGAGTAGCGCTTGTTGTTTGTCATTTCTCCGATCACAAATGCAGACACAGGTTTTATTTTTACGCGGCACGATGCAACGCAACGCGTAAAAACACAGTGTAAGTCATTATAAGTCATTTCCGTCACACGCTTGAGGAATTCGGCCAAACACAACGCACTGGATAGCTGGCCAATCAGAGCACACCTCGCTTTTCAGACCGATGAGTTTTGTAAAACTAAAAAATGTA